CGCTCCTGTTTAAGAAACTAGAAGTGAGCTAGGAGAAAGGGGAGCAGAAGACGGCAGGATCTGATCTTCAGACATCTCAGCTCTGATTGGCTAACAGCAACGTGACTCTACCATTGACCTCGTTTGCTATGCAATGTTGATGTTCTACCTCCACAAATAACACAAGTCTGAAGGAATTCTGCCATGTGGTGGAGTTGCTAACGCTAATGGCTAGCTTCTACTAGCCAAGGCATGCTCTGCTCTCTCCTGGATGCTACACCAACAACAACCTTCCCCGTCGCAAGCCAAGATGGGGGAGTCCATGAATGCCAGCTTGAAATCATGACGTGCAAATGTTGGCTTTTCTAATCCGAGTGTTTCCCCGTCAATGAGTAAGGCAGGAAATAGGGGTAGAAGACTCTTTTCACATTTGACTGCATGCTAAACTCTGACTGACTGAGTTATCAAAAATAACAAGTACAAATGGTTTCTCAGTGAACTTTAGAAGATAACAACACACTTTTATTGCAAAGCCATTTAAGGAAGCCGTTTTGTTTTTTAGCTCATCAAATATCCGAATGGATCCAAATCCAAAACTACTTTAACCATGACAATAGATTCCTTTGCAAGTTATTCTTCCCACAAACACAAAAACGTACAAAGATCCAACATTTACAATTATAGAGAATTACTGGGTAAGAAGAAACTGGGACAGTTTTAAAAATTAAAGATCCAAAGAGTTTAAATTAAAACAAAGCGTTCCGCTGCTGTTGAAAACACGGTAGGTCGTATTTTCCCCATTTGAACGATAATCAGCGCAAGGTTCATCTGTTTGTTGTGACTACACCGTCATTACCTGTGCACATGCTCAGTACAACGCCGCCCACTGATGTCAGTTTTCTTACTTAATTTTGGAACGCTGACGTCAAAGATGTCAAAACAGTACAAGTCCTCCTTTGTGGTCCTTTAGGCTCATCTGACCTACATCAGGGGCTTACTTTATTGAAATTTGCTTTTGTTTATGTAATTAAGTCTAACAATGGTGTATTTTGTTGGTTGGTTGGGGTTTTCTGTAAAGAGATAATGAACCAGAACACCACTGAAATACTCTGAACTGGGCCTACATGCTCTGCTGTCGCAGAACCTAAAATGTGGTGTAAACAACACAAAGTCTGCTTTTAATTGCGCCCGGTCTGATAAGTCTGTGTACCAGGAAACGGCATGCTCTTAGAGACTTGACATTGGTGTGGGTTCTGCAGGGAGATGTCTGACTAGCTACTCACACTACCTGTTGGTGCAGTTTCTTTGGCATTTGATTTGTCTGTTTTACAGAACAACTCCTATCGCTTTATTCCTCCTCTGTTCCCGCAGTAACTTCTCAGAAACCTCAGGCGTGAGGGTTCAAAATGACAATAAACCTTTAGCTGAAAAAAATCAATTGAACTTTGAGCCAGAAACGATCAACTATCTCAGCTGGACACATGTTCAATATCAATCACGGATATGAGAGGGGTATTTTCCAGTAAGTTTCACCACAACAACGCCATAAAAATATGGAATAAGGATAAAATATTATCAATTAAATCGTCCATAATTGCAGAACTTCTTTTTGTTAGCACACTCCACACCAAGTGACCTACATTCAGGCTAATTGCAAGTCTTGTATATTGCATTTGCACACACTCAGGCCAACTGCAAATCTCCAAAAGCCCTCGGACCCACCTCACATCACCATGGAGACGGCACTCCATTGTAGGGTGAGAATGAAAGCGCTTTGAGGGGTCCTGGCAAATTTATGGTGAGAGTGGGGCTTCGTTCAAGTTTTGGAAGCACACAGATTCTTCCCTAAAACGTTTGAATTTAGACAGATTGTTTCATCAGACGATCAGATTTGTTTGAAGCTCCTGGAACCTCCCTCTGAATCAACAAACTGCTGGTGTAATTACAGAGTAATGGCCTCAAACACTGCTGGGAGAGGCTGCAGACGTTAAACAACGCTGACATTTGAATGAAACCTGATTCACTGACTGACTGACTGACTACACTTTTCCCTGCAACAGGTGCAAAAACTAAAGCAGCTGTAGTGACACTTACCTGGAGTGAGAGTTTAAGTTAGCCAGATCAGCTCCAGCAGAGAGCGAGAGAGTCAGACCGAGGTGTGTATTTGTTTCATTTCAGGGTTTCCCAGTGGAGGTGTTGATCACAACTCCCAGGACCGACACTGCGGTGCTGGGGGAAAGCAGGTACAGTAACAGCTAGAGTTTGTTTGGGAGTGGCTCACACCTTTCGGATTTATTTAACTCCTTCCTTCCTGCAGGAGAGGCAGCTCACACAACCTGTTTGTAACCTGTTCTGGAGTCACAGCAGCTTAACAACAAAGAGTCCAAACCTGCTGCTCCTCCGGGAGCTTCTCAGCAAAAAGCCCAGTGCGTCTGTTCATGACTGCTGCTGGAGGAGGAAAGCTTTAGCCGGCTGAATCTGAAATCTTTATAGCTGTTTTTACTTCAGGGAACTCCTCTTTTTCCCATTGAAAAGGAATCCTATTCATATGCAGATGAGCTGGCGCTGAAAGCAGCAGGAGACGGCAAAAAGTGGCTTAAACTTCAGTCCAGTCTGAGGCACCAAACTAGTGGTTCATTTCAAATAGCCTTTGGTAAGTCAGCCAAGTGTCAAAAAAGTACTAAAACACATTTTCAGCTAAAGGAAACTCACTCCAGTCAACACCTTGAGTCTGAAAATAAAGTTTTAGATTCTAAAAGTTAAATATATGTTTGGTGGTAGTTTCTGTAATAATTATATATCTTGACCTGACACCACATTATAATGACCAGCGCGTCAACCTGCCTTTTATTTCTCAGCAGCAACGTTTGGGAAGCACAACTGCATGACTGCACCTTTGATTCAGAAAAAAAAAGTCTACACAAGTGACCTGGGTGACCGGGTCATCTGACCCAACGGAGCTACCGTAGCTGCTGAAAATGTGCATAGAAACATATTTGAAACCATAAACCGTCAGCTCATATTGGGACCTTCACCTTGTCCCCAGTGACCCCGCAGAGCTGCAGCAAGGCATGCTCATGAGCTAAACGTCTATCACCAAATGCAGCGTTACCTTGTGAATTAGCTTGCATTAATGAAGAAAACACTTCTGTTTAAATGTTGTGATTCTTTGTCTTTTGGCGTGAAATCTCTGTCTGTTAGCAAAATATATTGGGACACTGAGGAAAACCTGACATTCAGAAGGTCTGCAGAAAGAGAAGCTTGCTCATTAATGAGGGGTGGTGAGGGTTAGTACTCCTCGATGGTCCTGCATTTGTTGTTTTTAAACTTTTACATCATGAATTTGATTTTATTCTAAAAGAAGTGAGTGATGTTGTTGATTATTTCCTGTAACCCCCACCTTTCCTGCACACAAACTTTCTACCTTTGTCTTTGTTTGGGTCTCACATGCTGGCTTCCAGTGTGGGGTGGCCCAGGTGGGGTGCTTGGGAGTGTGTGTGTGTGTGTGTGTGTGTGTGTGTGTGTGTGTGTGTGTGTGTGTGTGTGTGTGTGTGTGTGTGTGTGTGTGTGTGTGTGTGTGTGTGTGTGTGTGTGTGTGTGTGTGTGTGTAGGGGGAGTAACCCATCACAAAATCTTTTTTTAAGGTCAATATGAAAAAAAAATTTGTTTGATAATAATAATGATAATATTGAAATGCTCTGTAGGCCTGGAGCTAGAAACCAGTGTTAAAAGTGCATGCTGCCCCCTACTGTTCGGGGTTTATAAGCCCAAGTCTTTGTGGACTACATAAATGTGGAATGACCTATCAAGCACTACCAGAACAGGGGCTTCCTTTTCAATTTTCAAGAAACTCCTGAAGACCCTGCTCTTCAGAGAGCATCTGCTAAACTAGCACCCTCCCTGCACCCATCCCCCCTCTCTACTGTCCACTCCCTGTTCCCTCCTCTCCATTATTGATGTCAAGTTGTTGTTGTTATTGTTATTGTTAGCCTCAAGGGCAACATGCCGATTATCACTTGTAAGTCGCTTTGGACAAAAGTGTCTGCTAAATACATAAACATATAGTAAATTTCAATGGAACACGTGTGTGTGTGTGTGTGTGTGTGTGGGGGGGGGTCAGATTTCAAAGGTGGCTACCCTAGGCCATTCCCTGGACACGCCCCTGTTTCCTTTTATTTTCAGGTGTCAGAACATTCAACGCCAGTTTTAAGTGCTTCTGAAATTTGTTGTGATTTTCAGCAACAACTTTTCCTTCTGAGAATAAACGTTTTTACATGTGATCAATCTTCCTCTCTTTTGGATATTCACTTCAGGGACCACTTCTGCGTCCTCTACCCTCACAAATTAACTTTACTCATTTTACATTCATTTATTTTTGTTTTCATCCAAAGAGACTTGCAGGGCCAACGTGCATGTTTTTGGTCTGTGTGAGAAAATCTGTGCATGCACGAGGAGAGCAAGGCTGCATCTGGGATTCGAACTTGCAACCCTATGCTAGCATCACCTTTTACCTTACAAAGCTGCTGCTAATGTGTTAATATTTTTAAAGTTACATCTAAATTTAGCTGAAATCTGATGCACACTGTTAACACCGCTACATTAGTTTTTTTCTACAAAAAAAGGGAAAATTAAAGAACATAAACCGATTAAATCATTCGATCCTGTTGACACAGACACTGATAAAATGAGATTTCAAGCTTCTCTTTCCACTTCTCTTAGCAGCAGGAAGTGAAAACACTTGGCTTTGAAAAACAAAGCATCATTGTGGGCTGAAATGTCAGCTGTGCTAACAAGCGAGTTATAAAAAAGCACCCTGAATTAAAATGTGTGAAAGCATCAATTATACATTTTAACAGCATGCTTAAATATTTTGGTTTTTTTGCGGGTTAAAATAATTTTTTATTGCTGAATATTAACATTGTTTTCCTGTGCTGCACAAAGAAGTACAACTGCGCCCTTTGGTGGCTGTAAAGCGACACATCAGCTCAGATGTGAACTGGTTAAAAAATGGAGGAAGTTACCTGCTCTCCTATGTTAGCGGTGGTCTTTAGAGTTTGTTTCTGAGGCCTCTGCTGTGATGCTGGATCTCCCGGTGCAGCATCGAGATCTGGTGGCTCAGGGGAAAAGTCACATTCAGTTGTGTGAATCTCTGGGAGCGTGTCATACACATCTGGTGGTGGTAAAGGGAAATCCTCATCATCTGTAAAAGTCCGCAGCTGTGCTGCTGGTTCATCTTGCTTTGAGTTTTTCATCTGCAGCTGTGTTTCTTTGATCTGATCTGCAGGATGAGGCTTTGAATCCAGTTTGTTTTTTGTTTCTGAAAGTGCCACAGGGATTGAAAAAGGCTTTAATGGGTTTTCTATAAGTTTTAAAGTTTGTTGTGAGCTGCTGATGGTGTCCGGTCCCTCCTTTAGAGACCCACATGGAGCCACGTCTGGCAGGCTGAGGCACAAACCAAACGTGGAGAATCTGTACATCTCCTTCGAGTCATCCCGAGCTGCTGATGTGCGCATCACGCTTTTCGAGTCATGTGTTTTCTCAGCCAGACACTCAGCTGAGTCTGACTTGTGAGGACCAGAAGCGAGCACTGGGAGCTCCCTCATGTACTGTGCGGGGACGTAAAAGGGCTTGGTGTGCTGGTCTTTGCGGACGTGCCACCAGTGCTCATTGGTCTTGGAGATGAGGATGAAGCTTTCGTTGGGTTTGATGCACACAAGCCGGCCATTCTTCGCAGTGTACTCATACGCCACCGACACCCGCGCCATGCTGAGCTGCAACCACCCACCTACTGCGAGGACATCCTGGAAAAGGGAAATAGAGGAAATGTGACATTTGTCTGACTTTCCAGATTCTAAACATCAGCTAGGGGCTGACACGTCACTCTGCTGCACACTTCCACATACTAAAACAAGTGGCCTGTTTTAACAGGAAACTAGCCTCCAGCTATCACAAAACAGAGCATGACTCTTATCGCTGGCTTCTGACTGTGAAAAATGACATGTGGCATATTAACATTGTGACAAAAACAAAGGCACACGTAGGAAGCAGCGTGGGGAAGTCTCTGCTAATCAAATATATTGATTATCACAGAGGTGTCAAAAGTATTCACTTCCATGAATCAGATGAAAGTATAGACACTAGGGTTTAAAAAGACTTGTGTAGACGTTGAAGTTACAACTCAAGTTTTTTGCCCAAGTAAAATAAAAAAAATGATTTTAATACTAATTAAAGTGTAAAAGTTAAAAGAATGTAAATAAAAAAGAATGTCATGAAGGAGAATACTTAAGCTGCACCACAGCCCTACCACACACTCCCCAAAATGTATTTTCACAAAAAGTCATAATGACAATAAACATGATATAAAGGGGTGTGGGGTGTCTGGTTATTACCGCCACAGGCAACCCTGCTCCGTTAGAGAAGTAGATTTGTAGGAAAACATTATAAACATTGTTTTAAATTATTTTACATGTTTTAATTACAACAATATAATATCTAGTTCAGTTACAGTTACTTTAGATACAACAGTTTTTCAGTTAGTTTCAAAATATAAGCTAACAATTTAGCAAATATGCGGTACAACATTAAAAATTACGGTAATTTCTTCCTCAGTTTCTTTTTGATTTAAGGTAAATACATTCTCACGCTTTATTTCCACATCTCTCATTAGGCTAAATTATCACAAACAATCGTACTTATTAGGTCTTGCTTTCAGCAGGGGGGCTACTGAGGAGGAGTCCAAGCTTGTTGTCAGGGTGGCACATGCCCACCCTAGACCCACCCCTGCTAAATAAACAGACAAAATGTCTGACGCAATGTCATTGGGACAGATTAACCTACAATGCGCGTTTAGAGAATGAAAAGCAGAAACATGGTGGTGGAGGGGTGATGATTTGGGCATGTGTTTCACCTTGCAATTATATTGAGTCACAAACAGATGAAACCATCCATCCGAGCTGATGTATGGACCAAGCAGAGTCTAAAAAGCACAGTTATTACAAACACAACCAAAGAAAGACCCAAAGTCCAGACCCTGACCTGACTGATAAACTGTAATCCGACGTCAAACGATGTAAACAAACAGATTTGTAAAAGAAAATTGGGGTAAAATTCCTCCCCCATGATGACACATTGATGAGGTCATGCAGATTCTGGCCTTTTTATTTTTTATTTTTGTCAATAACATGTTTGAATCAGTTCAATTTTTGCATTAGTTTCAGTTCGCCATGTCTAACTGGAGCCTTTCTCGTGATCTATGCCCATATTTAGGGGTTCTTATGAACAAGACGTATGGCTTTATGAACACAGACAGAACAGGAAGCTGCTTGCCACAAAGAAGCAAGTGAAACATCTCCAGGCCAACCCCATATCATCAGTTTGAAAAGTGCTTCACCACAGAGCAGGAAGTTTGCACCAACCTCGGCTTGGCGTCAGTTTGACGTCACCGCCGGCAATCTTAGTTTGTCCTTCTTTTGTATTTCTGAAGCATCTTTAAGAGGTTTGGGGGCTCCTGCAGCAGGAAGACAGGAAATCAATCATTGATTGGGATAAAATAATCAGTTGTTTGTGGTAAAATTATCATAAAAATAGAAGATTATTGTACATAAAAATAAATAAATAAACAACATGTTTTTTTCAAAACCCCGACGGATAAACTCTCCTATGATTAAACTAAAATAAAAGTTACAATAAACATTAGACCGGACTCACACCCTCTGGTTATAAAGGTGAAATAAACACGTCTACTTACCCGTTCAAGTCTTTTAAAGTTCCCCGTGATTGGATGTCTGTCAGAGAGCCACCAGGTCATACTGGTGAAGCTCAATCCGCTGCTTGCAGATGCAGATTCAGCTCGGCTGCGTTTCCTGTTCCGTGCACTTCCACCAAATCGAGCTGTGTGTGAAGCATCCAGAGCTCTGCAGCCGCATGAAATGGGAAGTCTGACTTTAACCAGCTTCCCAGTCTTTTCTTGGCACGTAAATTCTGTTTACAGCGGTAACTCCCCAGCTTAGCTGGAGAGGCGTGTTGGTGACTCATCATGGTGAAATAAAAACTTAATACACAGTCAGGCAGTTAACTGTATGTTGACAATAGATTTGCACGATAAACATTGTTTTGCTTAGTTTGTGTTTGAACAAGACAATTTCAGTCAGCTAAAGTTTAAAATTTGAAAAGTAAAATCGCTGAATCGAATGAAAAACATGTTTATTTTTTCAGCCATCACTGTGCAGGCACACAATGGTGCCCTCTTGTGGGCGCTTTGATTTGTTACACTCTACTTGTTTTCATCAATCAGCATTTGAAGGACTGACACCGCTTTTACGCACATAAACGGAATAAATATCAAAGTTACGTGGGTACTTGACTACAACGGACGTTAATATGGCAAGCCAAAACCGTCACAATACGCCACTTTCCCAACCCGTCTAGTTAAGAAATGGCGAAAAAAACGCCGTTTGATGTGCCAAGACGTCGTAAAATACGGCGAAAACTCTGCCAGAACGCCGTAATTTACGCCGTTCTGAACGGTCCCGTAGAACGCCCGTAAAATACGCCGTTTTTTCCGGACATTGAACGCCGTTTTTTACGTCACCCTAATCCCAGACGCGTTCTCTGTGTGGGTGGCGTAAAATACGGCGTTTGGTACGGACATTGAACGCCGCTTTTTTCGCCGTTCTGTGACATAAAACGCCGCTTTTAACGCCACTTTGTGACAGTTTTAACGCGTTTAAAATTCAACTTTACTCTCATTTATGCAGAGCCCTCCCCATGGGTTTCTCATCCACTTAATTTAAACTCCAGTGACCCAATGAAAGACGAGGAGGTTGAGGCAGCACTAATTCATCCCAGATTCGCCGGGCTGTCGGGCTGTGCGGATTGCTGTTTTCTAATACAACTCGGCTCTGTTTCAACTAATTTCACTGTATTGAAAAAGCCTTGAAATGTAGTAATATTATCAACAATGTGTCAACATTATTATTTTTTCTGTCCACCTGTAAAAGGCAGAAACGCTGTTTCAGTCAGACCTGATGATTACTTAAAAGTGTGGCTGCCGTATCAGTCTGTCCTCGTGGCTCGTGAGTCCAGCTGAAACATCAGTGCTCTTTCTGTCCAAAACTCCATTCTTCTTAAGTTAATCCACTTTCAGTATTTACTATTGTGACAGTGTGTGTGTGTGTGTGTGTGTGTGTGTGTGCTGTCGCAACGTCCCGATTGATCATGCGCCCTGGCTACTTGGCCAAGGGGATGTTCCTTTGGCTGACTGGTTAGAGCGTATGACTCTCACCCGGGAGGGATCGAATCCCGCCCGAGCCCTCGTTTATCCGCCTGGCCACACTATTGTTTTTTTTTTCTTTCGTTTTTTTAAACGACTGTTATACTTGTCTTACAGGAGCTTCTGAAGATGTTCTGTCTTGCTTCTCCATCATCACTCTCCAGCTCCTCAGACCAGCCACTCCAGAACCTTCCCAGATCCAGGATCAGAGCACTTTAATTAAAGTTTGAAACATGTCTGCTTGTTGTTCTCCTATAGAAGCCTTAAACTAGAATTTGCTAATGAGCTTTCTTGGCTAAAATATGCTCTTAAATGTTTTTATTTACATAATCAAGAAACACGTTTTTCATTGCTGCTTCACCAAGACATGACTCTGAGAATGTCCTCAAGATCCTGAAACGCTGGTTAAAACAAATTACTTTTAACCTCTTATAAAACAAACGTGTCTGTTGATGATTATGCCACTATACTGAAGCACCTGCATACTTGCTACCGATTTGCTAACTTTCTGTAATATTTGATATTTAAGTTGAAAACATGAAATGCTGTAACACAAATTCCAAATGTTCTAGTTGAGCACTTGTTTCTAGTCAACTAATCATTATTTCTGTGATTAGTCAGCTTTTTCCTTTTCAATAAACACATGGAAAAATTACAATTATCTTACTGAAAAATGGTTTAACAGTGTTGCACATGTATAATAATCTGCACTGGTTTTCACAGTTACGGCATTCTTCAAACTATAATAATAAAATAAAGTGAAACGATATTTACAATTGATTACTTCCTACTATTTACATTTTATGCATCGATACTGTAAATGGCTGTTTACTAAGGCATACAAAGTCAGTGGAATGTTCTCATACGGGTTCTTGCCTAGTAAGCAGGGGGTTGCCTCCTGTAAAAATGGAGATGATTAGCCTCATTGTTGTCTTTCAGCACACTCCGTAAAGTCCTAAATTTAAAAAAATGTGGTTTGTGGGAGAGGCTCATCTACTTTCTAAGGCTAACACTTTTAAACTCCTCTTAAGCACACACTCAACTTGTTAATAACTAAAAGGATTGTTCAATACCTGCTCAAATAAACAAGGCAATTCTACAGACTCGTGGATTTGTAAGTAGCATTAATGAAGAATACAGGATCATATAGAACAGAAATATGTAGATTTACAAGCAAACTACCTGTGTACAGGCACTGACTTTGTATGCCTTAGTAAACAGCCATTTACAGTATCGATGCATAAAATGTAAATAGTAGCAACTTGAAGTAATCAATTGTAAATATCTTTTCACTTTATTTTATTATTATAGTTTGAAGAATGCCGTAACTGTGAAAACCAGTGCAGATTATTATACATGTGCAACACTGTTAAACCATTTTTCAGTAAGATAATTGTAATTTTTCCATGTGTTTATTGAAAAGGAAAAAGCTGACTAATCACAGAAATAATGATTAGTTGACTAGAAACAAGTGCTCAACTAGAACATTTGGAATTTGTGTTACAGCATTTCATGTTTTCAACTTAAATATCAAATATTACAGAAAGTTAGCAAATCGGTAGCAAGTATGCAGGTGCTTCAGTATAGTGGCATAATCATCAACAGACACGTTTGTTTTATAAGAGGTTAAAAGTAATTTGTTTTAACCAGCGTTTCAGGATCTTGAGGACATTCTCAGAGTCATGTCTTGGTGAAGCAGCAATGAAAAACGTGTTTCTTGATTATGTAAATAAAAACATTTAAGAGCATATTTTAGCCAAGAAAGCTCATTAGCAAATTCTAGTTTAAGGCTTCTATAGGAGAACAACAAGCAGACATGTTTCAAACTTTAATTAAAGTGCTCTGATCCTGGATCTGGGAAGGTTCTGGAGTGGCTGGTCTGAGGAGCTGGAGAGTGATGATGGAGAAGCAAGACAGAACATCTTCAGAAGCTCCTGTAAGACAAGTATAACAGTCGTTTAAAAAAAACGAAAAAAAAAAAAACAATAGTGTGGCCAGGTGGGTAAACGAGGGCTCGGGCGGGATTCGATCCCCAGACTCCCGGGTGAGAGTCATACGCTCTAACCAGTCAGCCAAAGGAACATCCCCTTGACCAAGTAGCCAGGGCGCATGATCAATCGGGACGTTGCGACAGCACACACACACACACACACACACACACACACACACACACACACACACACACACACACACACACACACACACACACACACACACACACACACACACACACACACACACACACACACACACACACACACACACACACTGTCACAATAGTAAATACTGAAAGTGGATTAACTTAAGAAGAATGGAGTTTTGGACAGAAAGAGCACTGATGTTTCAGCTGGACTCACGAGCCACGAGGACAGACTGATACGGCAGCCACACTTTTAAGTAATCATCAGGTCTGACTGAAACAGCGTTTCTGCCTTTTACAGGTGGACAGAAAAAATAATAATGTTGACACATTGTTGATAATATTACTACATTTCAAAGCTTTTTCAATACAGTGAAATTAGTTGAAACAGAGCCGAGTTGTATTAGAAAACAGCAATCCGCACAGCCCGACAGCCCGGCGAATCTGGGATGAATTAGTGCTGCCTCAACCTCCTCGTCTTTCATTGGGTCACTGGAGTTTAAATTAAGTGGATGAGAAACCCATGGGGAGGGCTCTGCATAAATGAGAGTAAAGTTGAATTTTAAACGCGTTAAAACTGTCACAAAGTGGCGTTAAAAGCGGCGTTTTATGTCACAGAACGGCGAAAAAAGCGGCGTTCAATGTCCGTACCAAACGCCGTATTTTACGCCACCCACACAGAGAACGCGTCTGGGATTAGGGTGACGTAAAAAACGGCGTTCAATGTCCGGAAAAAACGGCGTATTTTACGGGCGTTCTACGGGACCGTTCAGAACGGCGTAAATTACGGCGTTCTGGCAGAGTTTTCGCCGTATTTTACGACGTCTTGGCACATCAAACGGCGTTTTTTTCGCCATTTCTTAACTAGACGGGTTGGGAAAGTGGCGTATTGTGACGGTTTTGGCTTGCCATACATTAAGGCTCACTCTTATAACTAAATAGTAGGCCTACGGTATTTCAGCAGATGAGATCGCGCGATCATGCGTAAATTCCAGCCAATACGTGACAACTTTTCTCAATACGTAACTTTTGCTTTTCACAAGTAAAGGAGCCCCGCCGTAAGCGGGCATCAAAAAATTAGGTTAGACTCATGTTGTTCCTCTCCACGGAAATCTTTAGTAAAAGGCGAAAGATTTATACGATCTGAAGAGAAACATGAGTGATCTGCAGTTCCACAGAAATTCTGGGAATGTCATCCTCCGACGCGTCCATTTCGCTTACGGTGCCAAAAGCAGAAGCCACAAAAACTAACGTTTTGAAAAACTATTTTGAGTAAATAGGTTGGTATGTAACTTACATTTTTTCCAATTCGTCGTTTAGAAAATACAACGTTTCATCGACAACATTTAATTCTCATAAACGCGATGCATGATGGGTAATAGGAAGTTGCTATCTTGTAAAATCACAGACAAATAACGCTCAAGAGCGTGCTGCAACCTGTGTATTTAATCTAAATGAATACAAAGCCGCACGAACGTATTACAGACTCAACAATCCACTATGAAGAAAAACCACGCGCATAAAATAATATGAAAAAGGCTTTAAATGTTGACGCATGCGCTGTAGACCGACGGTAAGTGACTTCGAAGTTGCTCCCCAGCTATAGGGATACGCATATGTCATAATGACTGTTAAAATAGATGTGGCGTGTGTCTCCTACTTTATTGCTCTTCCAGAAATCTTGCATTTTTAATTTCCGATGTATAATATAATGAAAAACGTTCAGAAATGGTTTCATAAAGGCTAATCCCAAAGGCACATTTATACGTCTACTGGAATTTGTGTATATTTTAAAGTATTTTCCCTAATCGTCTAATACAATCAGTGTTCTTATGGCCGAGTTGTCTTGGAAGTTTCTTAATAAAAAGCATAAAGAAAACACACTTACCACATACATAATTTTTTATAACTTTAAATATATGAAAATAATTTTAATGTTCTTCAGATATACAAAACTCAGAACACCAACACCAACACTTGAATTAACAAATGTAGAAAACCTGAGGACTTCATTTTTATGGAGAAAAATAAAATAAAAAGACAAATTTTTTTTTTAAATGAAGTCTTCCTAACCTATTTATGGCAGTAACTTCTAGAAAAACTGGTGTTTTACTTATATATATTAATATATATATATAGTTTATTTTCTAGTTATTGGTATTGACATGTCAGTTAAGTTTATTTTAAACATAACATTTTATTTGTGGTTCAAATACCTAACAAATCTTCAACAAAACACTAATTATAATTGTTTTACATCTGTTTTCACTATCAAATTTAAATATGTCCAAATAAAAGTATTAGAACAAAGCTGACAGATGGCAACGTATAAAAAGATTTAGTACTGGAAAACATAAAAACGTCAACGTGGCAGGACATTTTGTGTACTTGTGAATATTAAAGACAGGTTTCATAACATAATGAATGGCACAATGAAAATACTTCTTTAGTATTTCTGTCTACATGAACAGATAAACAGTGTGGATGAGTCTTATGTAGCAGCAAATACTCACAATGGTGCTTTACAGTTTTAAACATGGCACTTTTTAGACCCCACACATGAAATGCTCATCTTGGTCCACGTTAACCAGAATGACAGACTGGTTTTATGTTAACATTTGGTCTTTGATTTAAATATAAATGTACTCTGATGTTTATTATTAAAAAAATAAGGCATATTTCATTTTTCAAGGTTTCCTCCAGTGGGATTTTTAAGCCTTTTGTAGCTTCCAACTGTACAGAAAATCCAATAATTAGTTCATGTTTTTACACAGAGGCCAAGGTGGAAAGTCAACAACTTTCTGCTTCCTTTAAGAAATTAGATATACATAAAAAAAAATATTCAAAGTGTCTGTGTGCAGTGTCACGCATCCCTTTCCAGTTCAAATGGCCTTGACATCAATCAGGTGACCATGCTGGATCCCCTGTCGCTGGGTCTTGATTCCCTGGAGTTTTCTGCCGTGAAGCGTGAAGCGAGACCAGGCGGCCAGCTGGAGCAGGGCGCAGGCGATAGGCACGAAAACCAACATGTAGAAACAACCCAGGCGGAGAGGTGGAGTCCCTGAGCTGGAGGCAGTGTCAGACACCATCACGGAGTCCTTCAAAGGCGCTCTGTCAAAAATATCATAACCTGCAGAAGACAAGATAGAAAATTATTCGATTCGACAACAAGTGCATTTATTATGAACAAGTCAATTGAGTCAATTTTATTTATACAACTCTTTACAACAGCTAAGTACTTAACAAGTCAAATACAATAAAACACAGCAACTTCCTATAATGTTGAGAATATGACTCAAAAGAATAAAATAAAATACACACAAACAACATAAAACCAGTTAAAAAACTCAAACTGATCTAAAAGCAACAACTTGAACAAATAATCCATTCATTCCTATAGCTAAACCTTCTTGTACATTGTGACTCGTCACTATTGCATGTACCTGTGTAAACACAGAGCAGCCAGGTGCCGATGAGTGGGGCAAAGGTCTGTCCAGGTTTGGTTAACAGGGCGACCATCCCAAAAAGGAGGGCAGAGGCAGCCTGCTGGCGTCGGTTCACCACAAAGTCCTCATCGACCAGATCAGAAACCACCAGTTTCAGCAGCTTACAGGTGCCCTCTGTGAACACCCGGTTGCTAAAACAGTGAGAAGATAAGAAGATTAAAAGATTCACTTATACTATTTACTGTCCTTTTGTAAAACAAGGTTTGAAATTGCCGACTAATAAAAATAACCAAACAAACTAAAGCAGAAACAGACGATCAGGTGGTCTTACCTAGCAATGAAAATACACAGCAGATAAATGTGGTCAGCTCCTGCTAGCAGCATAACTACACTCAGTCCCAATTTGAGCAAGAACAGCCAGCGGATGACCTGATAAACGCCATATCGCTGGCACAGTGTCAGGAAATACATGTTGTTCAGGTGAGGGGCGACGTAGGAGATCCCTGTGAGAGAGAGCAGGCACAGCCGAGTCGGACAAAGAATACAGAAACAAGCATTTAAACGCTAAAGTGTAGAAAACACTTCAACAAAACACCCCTGACACACACACACACACACACACACACACACACACACACACACACACACACACGCACACACACACACACACACGTTAGAGTTTGTCTGCTGATGGAGAGCACTAAGGTAACTATTTATTCTGCTCCTGACGAGTAAAACACACACTGAGTTATTTGTTAAATGAGTGGCGTTTTCAGCTCTTACCCAATAAAATGGATCCTGCAGAGGCGGAGATGTTATCAGACAGAAGGTGTTCCAGGAACAGAGGAAAGAAGTTGCTGTTAAAGTGGCAGTGAAACACCTGCAGAGAAAACAAAATTAACTCAGAAGGATGGACCGGATATAGAACCTATGAATATACCAGCAGAGGTTTTACTACACTTCTTACAGTGTTATTGATGACAGGCGGTGGGATCGGGAGTGTTTGGGACATTTTAATTATATTCCATGATGCTTCACAATAATAAAACAAGGCTACATCCATTTGTACTTTGGCCTACTTTATTATTTTTAACAACTCACCTGAATCAAGTTCATTGACACGAACCACAGAAAGTTCTTGTGTTTGGAGAGCTGCTTGAGGTACTGTCTGATGGTGACGGCTCGGTCTGGTTGTGTGAATGGAGCCGAGCCAACACTCAGCCTGGGACCATGAAAGAGAAAGTGAAGGCAGTGAGAACAAAATTCATTCCTCATTCATATTTTTCTAATCTATTAAAAGCCGTACTCTTTAAGCGTTGACGCCTCGTCTTGTTTAGGGTGAGCGTCCTTTTTAAAGCGCCGCTGCAGCAACCGAGACACAAAGAAAAATCCCAGGATGGAAAACGCCGCCAGCGTCACACAGAAGAAACGAAAGGAGTAGAAGTCTTCCTTGTCCCAGAACCAGTAGGACAGGAAGACGGAAAGGGAGCCCAGAGCACTGAACACAGAGCAGTGAAAGTTGAGGCGCGTGCGGTCAGCAGCAGATACGGCGAGGTCGGCCAGCAGGGCGCTGTGATGGAGGTCGACCATGGTGAGGAAGCCATCGTACAGACACAGGCAGAGCAGGAACTGTAGACCCGGGCTGGCCCACGCCACCCAGAAAGCCAAGAAGGACAGAGAGAAGAGAGGTCCGTTTGTGGAGAGGGCCTTCAGACGCTTCAGCACCACCTCTGGAGTCGTGATCTGGGAGCCCGACCTGTTGGGAAAACGAAGAGAACCGACGGGATCAGTGAGGATTTACCGATGAGAAAAACTGGAGGTAATATCAACAAATATCAGCAAATGCAAAGTTTAAACACCACAAATCCTGGTTTTAATGGTGCCGGCGTGACACTAAACACTAAGATGTTAACACCCTCGAACTAAACAGAGTTTATGTTTCACACAGAACTGCAAACACAAGTGACGGGATCGTGTTTGACAAGTATGGTGTGATGTTTAGTTGTCCTTGCTGCAGCCAACAGAAGAGTCTATGGGTACACATTTGTGTGTGTGTGTGTGTGTGTGTGTGTGTGTGTGTGTGTGTGTGTGTGTGTGTGTTCTAAAGCCTTTGTCAGATGTGATGTTTGGGCTGGACGAAGATGACCTGAATGAAATTATGTCTGTAAGGTAAATGCAAAAACAATTCCACAAACACAATGTCCTCATGTGTTTTATGCACCAATAGCGTCGGGCGTGTTGGGCAGAGGGTAACTCTGAAGTGCCTTTTTCCCCTCCCTCTGACTCTATCCTCGTATAAACCCTCTTGATCTACTACGGTAGCACGGCTTGGGTTGCGAATGACCACAGTCACCAATTCTTGTCATGTGTCTATGTATGTATGCCAATTCTTGTCATGTGTGTGTGTGTGTGTGTGTGTGTGTGTGTGTGTGTGTGTGTGTGTGTGTGTGTGTGTATGTATGTATGTATGTATGTATGTATGTATGTATGTATGATGTATGTATGTATGTATGTATGATGTATGTATGTATGTATGTATGAATGTATGTATGATGTATGTATGTATGTATGTATGTATGTATGTATGTATGTATGTATGTATGATGTATGTATGTATGTATGTATGTATGATGTATGTATGTATGTATGATGTATGTATGTATGTATGTATGTATGTATGTATGTATGTATGTATGTATGTATGTATGTATGTATGAATGTATGTATGTATGTATGTATGTATGTATGTATGTATGATGTATGTATGTATGTATGTATGTATGTCTGATCTCAGAATTGTGTGTACTGAAACTCTAATTTCCCTCTGGGATTAATAAAGTATTTTTGAAATAGAATTGAATTCAGAGGCATACCAAGTCATTTTTTAACCAAAAATATTAGTTTTTTGAAGGGATTTATTGAATTTTGTAGATTTGTCATGTACTGTTCACATTATATTTAAAGCTGCTTTAACAAATTTACAGAACAAGCTCTCCCCTCGTGTTATTGGTGGAGATACTTAGACAATATATTTATAACTATACTATGTAGGAATGTTGTAGGAGGCATGAAAAAAAAACCTTTTAAACTAATTTGTTTTCCATATTTGCCACTGCAGCTTTAATGGTCGTCTTTAAATGCACCTTGCTTGTTTTATCCCCTTTAGAATATCTTACATTAACATATAACTGCAAAAAGAACGGTTAATCTGCTTCTTTTCCTATATTTCCATGTGAATGCTGAAATATTTAACATGGTGTTATTTATTGAACACTTACTGAGGAGAGCTGAGGAAGGAGCGGTCACTGAGCCAGCCAAAGAGAGGGTCGTTCAAACTGTTCCAGATAAGAAATATGGTCTAAAAAAAAAAAAAGGAGGTAAAAAGACATAAAAGAAAAAAATAATTTTGTTTAATTTTAGCCTCAAATTCCCCCCACGGTTTAGGATCCCTCTTCCTCACTCACCTCTCCCACCCAGAAGGAGATCTTATCGATCTTGTAGATGGCCACAAATGTCTCCACGTAGTACAGCAGGAACACATTGTGCAGGATGGATGTGAACAGGGCCAATGAGCCGTAAAGCACCGCCGTGGAGGAGACGCTCTGCCAGCAGCCCCAGACACTCCTGCCCATTCTTTCCTCTCAAGCCCTTCCTCTGTGTGGAGCTGTTCTCATCTCTCGGCCCGGACGACCCACATTCACCGCCTCATTTAATCCTGGAAAATAAAAGTAAAGCAGTGTGTAGAGGTCAAATTCACTGAGCTGTGACTGGAAGCGTTAGAGAGTTAAACACATTAGCTTAGCATGTCACATAAAACACAGACGGGTTCTTTTGAGATTTAGAAAAAGCTTGCATGTAGTGAAATCCAAAAGCTTGAAGCAAGAAGTGTTTTTTGCTAAGCAACAGCACAGTAAGTACTCATTAAAGTTGTTAAGCTGTGAGCAGCGATTTCTCCTCAGATCCACACCCAGCTGGGTTTTCTCTCAGCTGCTGCTGTTATTACAGCTGTCTGTCACCATAAAAAGCTGAACTGTGTCTCTGTGAGGTGACAAAAAAGTCACAGTTACTTTTTCAGAACAAGCGTTTTGCTGGTTTGTGAATGTAAAACACATAATTTACGACTACTGCAAAAGAAGAGAACACAATCTAAAAACCTGACACCGTTTTGTCTATGACTTTTTCTTCTCCACTCAAACTGAGGACACACTGTCCCCATCGTGAATGCAAATCCTGCTTCCTTTTGTTAATCTATGGCTTTGTTTCACTCCCCCTCTTGAAAGTCGATGCGAATTCTGTCGTGAAATGCTCTTTAGGAAAAAGTTATGATGAACGATCACTTAAAAATACCAACACGCTTCTTTTCTACCTCATATTTGACGACCGCAAACTTGAGAAATCCGAGAGGAGAAAACCCGTAATATCTAAAAAATAAATAAATAAATAAATAACTATCTGAAGGCAACATTATTCTGTGCGAGAGTACTATCTATGCCAGGGGTATTCCAATATGGACCTGGAGGGACAGTATCCAGCTCGTTTTAGTGGTTTCTCTGCTCCAACACACTTGATTCGGTGGTTAATCACCTGTGCAGCAGCTCATCAGGCTCTGCAGAAGCCTGTTAATCACCTGCTGATTTAAATCAGGTGTGCTGACGCAGGGTTAAAACTACAACAGGGGCGATGGTGGCACAGGAGTTAAGTGCTCGCCTCGCAATCGGAAGATTGCAGGTTCGAGACCCGCTCAGTCTGTCGCTGTCGTTGTGTCCGTGGGCAAGACACTTAACCCACATTGCCTGCTGGTGGTGGTCGGAGGGACCGGTGGCGCCAGTGCTCGGCAGCCTCGCCTCTGTCAGTGCGCCCCAGGGCAGCTGTGGCTACATTGTAGCTCATCCCCACCAGTGTGTGAATGGGTGAATGACTGATTGTGTTGTAAAGCGCCTTGGGGGGTTCCAGGACTCTAGAAGGCGCTATATCAAATACAGGCCATTTACCATTTACAACGAGCTGCATACCAGCCCCCAGGATCAGAATTGAATACCCCTGATCTAGACACTGCAGGAAGATTACAGCTTCACATTTTGATCATGGCGAGATCACAAATTCCCAGGGCATGTAACAAGAAGCTTTTCCTTTCAGATCCCAGCATTGTTACAAGATGGATGAACCATATCACTTCTTTAACCAGCTGGTTTCTAAACAAACCAGAAACATCAACATACATCCAGGTACCACATCAAAGCCGTTCCCACCTGTGGGGAGATCGTTTTGTTGGGACACAGATACACACCTGTTATGTTTACTGTGAGGGCCAACAGATAAGAAAGCAAAGCAGGCTGGCAGTACAGAAAAAAGGTCTCCTGAATTACTCACGTCACATGCATCTGCAATAAACGTAGGTGATGAGTTTGCATCGGCAGGCTTTTTACAGAACATTTCAGCTGATAATATTTACACGATAGTAGCACAAGAGGAACTGCTGATTTGTACCAAAGAAGAGAAACGATTTTTTTTATAAAGCGCTTCACTAAATACAAATCACGAGGAAAAACCAAGAAGGAAGAACCAAGATAAAAAGGGTTGAAATGCTTCCATTTACGTCAAAGATTTGCGACAGAACTACGAAAATAAGCATTCAATAATATTACTAGCTAACTAGCTCCTTTATTAACTTGTTTGTTGACCAAACTTTCTTTTCCTCGACGAATACATTTAAATCATCACATACACGATGTTAAGTTTGTACCGAAGCTAATCGGTCGACATATGTCTCGTTTGCTAAAAATTATTAGCTTGTTGAATTTCCTACTAGTGCTCGGTTTAGTAAAGGTTAGCATTAGCTAGCTAGTTAGTTAACGTCACCCGGTTGTTGCTTAAGGAGATAAAGTAATTCACAACACACTCCAGTTGGATGGAAATTGAAAAGATACGTGTTGCGTACCTTTAAAAACGCCGTTGTTTGAACACAATCCGTCTCGTTTGTACCACTGGGAAGCAGCGGTGTCTTCAGCAGCAGACAGCCCACTTCATGACCACTCGAGTGGGTTACTCGCGCCGGTGACGGCTGTAGTGGTCGATTCATCACGATGGGGGTTCCCGGTGTTCGTGACTAATAGACGAGCACAACAGCGCCCCCAGCTGGTTACTCGAAGAACTCGCGTTTATTGGTGCTAATCTGCGTCAATACGCCAGAGGGCGCTGTTTCAGCGCACAATCCTGTTTTTCTTTTATCATAATATTAAATTTATATTATTTTTTTTTTAAATGTAATTGTGTTGTTCAGTACGGAAAGACTGAATTTAAATTTAAAACGTGAAATGTTTAGTTTTGGCTACGTTAAGAAGACGTTTAATTTGAACGATTTTTGAACTACTGAATATTCAATGCCTGTTATGTTACTCGAATGTGAAATAGCCAAGAAAGACGGTGTTTTAAATAATCGTTATGTTTTGCTTACGAATGGCAAGAATTCATACAAATCTTAATCTTTTGTTGAGTCTTTTAGTCAAATTTTTTTAAATACATTTTATTCGTTACTGGTGTGAGCAGAGCAGAAGATATAAGTTTATTCTATCTGCTCCTTTTCAGTCAAGTATTAATAAGTTATTTTGTTTTTGTTAATTCGTTTAATTACTTAAAAATAACAAACAAACAAACAAACAAACAAACAAACAAAAAACAAACAAACACACAAACACACAAATAGATAGATAGATAGATAGATAGATAGATAGATAGATAGATAGATAGATAGATAGATAGATAGATAGATAGATAGATAGATAGATAAATAGATAAATAGTTTCAATTCAGTTCTTGTGACTGACCATAAAGCCAAGTTGTGTGAATTTTTTTTACTGAAAAAAAAGCACTGCAGGACACGAGAGGAAAATATGTCAGGTAATAATCTCCAACAAGTAAATAGTATCTGTGTAAGAGGTACAAACACCTGTGGCAGTATCTGAGACTTGCGTCATCCTTCAAGTTGTGCCAAATTTTCAGCTGATAGTTTTTTCATCTTCTCCTTAAAATTATACATTCTTTTTTTCTGTCAAATTGTGTTGTGATTTATCTCAGAAAAAAAAGATGTGGAAATATAGAAAACAAAAACCCTGAAGATCTAATTCAAAAACATCTGGTTCCCAGTTAAGAGCAATTAGCAGAAAGTTACCTTCAGCATTTCTATCTTTCCACACTTTCCCCAGCAGGTGTCAGTGATGCATCACTCAGATCTAACTATCCTTTCCAAAATATACAAAAATAAAACTGTTATTGCATTTAGGAAACTATTGTATTTAGATTATGTTCGTGTTACATTAAAGTTGATGCATGCTTCCGGTTAAGTAAGTTAAACATAAAAAGGCTTACATCTCAATAACAAGCTTATTTATGAGAATTAAAACAACAACAACAACAACAACAACAACAACAATAATAATACTAGGTGTGTGTGTGTGTGTGTGTGTGTGTGTGTGTGTGTGTGTGTGTGTGTGTGTGTGTGTGTGTGTGTGTGTGTGTGTGTGTGTAAGAGAAAAAGGAGATGGGGGAGGGAGAGGGAAAGCATGGGTTGAGCTGGAGCAGAGCAGTGGGTGACTGCAGCAGTAGAGCATTTGGGTGTTTTGCAGCGGACAGGACGTTCAGGATTTTAGGAGACAGACGGACACAAAAGCAGGTGAGTCCGTCCTAACTGCTTCCACAGATCCTCCCGCAGCGCATCTTGCAGCTGCGGTAGTTTTCCACCTTCCGTCCGCTGATTTCTCCTGAATGTGACTGTTTCCCTGGGGCGCTGCAGCTCCGATCGGACAGGTGCAAACAGGGATCACACGCACGTAGACTGCCTAACAAAGATTTAGCCAAGTCAATGTTTTTATGTAAGTCATGATGAATGATGCCGCATCATCGAATCTCTGTAGGACACTCTTGCCAAGTTCAGTCAAAGGTGATAAAATAACGTTTATATCAGTCACAAATAATTGTCAAGTCCAATTAAACTGCATGATTACTAGCCCTTTAAAGGCTAAACAACTCCACTATTATGAACAACACATAGGCGTTGGAAAGGAGTTGATATTTTCACTTGTATTTATTGTATTATTTTCAAAGGAGTCATCCTTTAAATAGAAACTTAAATTAGATTGTTGCAACCAGCTGATTTGACAAAAATGATCTCAAAGCTTGCATGTGTAGAATACCGATTCAATATATATATATATTTATATATATAAGTTTATATATATATATATATGTGTGTGTGTGTGTGTGTACATATGAATGAATCCGCTGGCCAGATGCATCGTTACCTCCAAATTGAAAAAGGTAGTTAGGTTAAAGCATAAGCATCATCATTATGGGCTTAAAATAATTAAAAAAAAACGCAAAGAAGAAAATACTTTATTGCATTTTCCTCAGTGTGATTTAATTACTGGTTAAACCTTTAGAGCAGTGATAAATATAATGCATGGCTACACAACTAATAACTGCATTAACGTTCATTTGTCTTAGATAATGGTTGTGATTAGCAGTCTAGTCTACATTTATTACATTCTATTTCTAATTTTGACAGTCCAGAGCAAACAACACAAAAACCAATTATAAAAAAACAAGAATATTGGGATCCATTTATTTAGAAACCATCAAAGTGACAGAAAAAAGGTGGCACTGTGTAAAGCATCATGCCTCTGGTCTAGGTTGTATGAGAGCAGCTCATTAAAAGATTTGTAGATACATATTTTTTGGCTGTAACTCTCCAGCTAGTTAAAAAAACAAATTAATGCATGGCACAAGTAATCAAATTCTGCTCCACCTACACTGTACTTCAAACTGGATGGTGTCTAAACCATCATTGTAGCAGAAAAAGAGGAGAAAATTACATAAGATTAGAGATTCATCATCGTTTTGCCAGATAACACAATTAAATCTGAATCCATCAAAAACATTAGTACAGGGAGGATTATAAAATACATCAATTTTCCTGTTTTAGCCCATGTTTAGAGTAAATTATCTAAATTCATCTGTTTAAATCATGATAAAAGACATATTTTGAATTATATTTTATTATTGAATGAGATCCACCAACAAATGGATGATTAAAAAGCCTTTTCTATATTTAGATTTCACGTTGATGTAAGTTTTTGAAAAGACATTGGATATTCCTGATTGTGAGTCTGTTGGATGACCCAACAGTTCTCCCATAATCTCTTTATTTATTTTGTGTGAACAGAGTCTGATTATTTAAATAAATAACCACATTACACCAAAAGACTGAACCCACTTTGTTAGCTTGTTGGGATTTTGGTGTTAGCTTTTGTTTTGTTTATTTCCCTGAGTCATGGTTTAACCTCTGAGTCATGTTTTGTGGTTTTCTTCAGCTCCCCAGTCATTAAGCATCTTTGCATGCTTGTTCGTCATCTCACCTGTTTCTCACTCTCACCCCTCCCTGTATAAATATTATTCTGTTTCTCAGTTTTATGCAATACTCCACTGCTTTCCAGCACTCGTAATTGCTCAGATTTTTATTATATTTTTTTACAAGGTCTTTTATTTTGGTTCCACATTCACTGCACCCACTTGCAGTATGAATGTTGCAGGTTGAAAACCCAGATGCACCTTTCTCTGTGTTTGCATGTTCTCTCCATGCATATGAGGGATTTCTTTGGGAACTCTGGTTTCTTCCCACACACAAACAACATACATGTTGGGTTAATCTGTGAGTCACTTTGGAAAAAAGCTTCTGCAAAAGACCTGAACACAAGTCTGTACATTGTGTTCATTGAAAACATCATGACACACTGTCTTGATGTTCGGTGGCTGCTTGTCCATAGGGGTGCTGGGGCGCCACCCTCCCTGACTTAAAGTAAATAAGACTATATAAATATATATATATATATATATATATATATATATATATATATATATATATATATATATGTGTGTGTGTGTGTGTGTGTGTGTGTGTGTGTGTGTAAGTATATGTTTGTATATCTATATCTACATATATGTATATATATGTATGTATATATATATATATATATATATATATATATATATATATATATATATATATATATATATATATGTATGTATGTATATATCTATATATATGTATATATATGTGACCAGTATATATATGTGTACATATATATACATGTATATATATGTGTCAAGATGCTGATCTGACATCATGAGTAGTGCACAGGTGTACCTTATACTGCCCACAATAAAAGGCCACTCTGGAATGTGCAGTTTTGTCTCACAGCAAAATGCCACAGATGCCACAAGCATTGAGAGAGCGTGCAATTGGTGTGCTGACAGCAGAAATGTCAACTAGATCTGTTGCTTGCGTGTTGAATGTTCATTTCTCCACCATAAGCAGTCTCCAAAGGCGTTTCAGAGAATATGGCAGTACATCCAACCAGCCTCTCAACCGCAGACGACGTGTAACCACACCAGCCCAGGACCTCCACATCCAGCAGGTTCACCTCCAAGATCGTCTGAGACCAGCCACTCGGACAGCTGCTGAAACAATTGGTTTGGTTTCTGCACAAACTGTCAGAAACCGTCTCAGGGAAGCTCAACTGCATGCTCGTCGTCCTCATCGGGGTCTTGACCTGAATCCAGCTCGTCACCGTAACAGACTTGAGTGGGCAAATGCTCACATTCGATGGCGTCTGGCACGTTGTAGAGGTGTTCTCTTCACGGATGAATCTCGGTTTACATTGTTCAGGGCAGATGTCAGGCATCGTGTGTGGCGTCGTATGGGTGAGCGCTTTGCTGATGTCAGTGTTGTGGATCGATTGGCCCATGGTGGTGGTGGGGTTATGGTATGGGCAGGCATCTGTTATGGACGAAGAACACAGGTGAATTATATTGATGGCATTTTGAATGCACAGAGATACCGTGATGAGATCCTGAGGCCCATTGTTGTGCCGTACATCCATGAACATCACCTCATGTTTCAGCAAGATAATGCACGGCCCCATGTTGCAAGGATCTGTACACAATTCTTGGAAGCTGAAAATGTCCCAGTTCTTGCATAGCCAGCATACTCACCGGGCATGTCACCCGTTGAGCATGTTTGGGATGCGCTTGACCG